TATTTCCTTCTATCAACAACTATTATTTTTGAAAAAGACTTAGAAAATCTAATTTTAATTTTAATGTACAAATTCAATAAATCAAATAAATTTTTTACGTTTGATGCATTTCAGAAATTCATTTCTCAGCCCATTCCAGAGTTTTTCTCGAGCTTTAGCTTATGAGCCATATGATACGAAGAAGTTCCAAAATATTTTCTGAATGGAACAAAATGAATTTTTTTTAAATACCAACTTCTCGATATTTTCTTGTGTTTCAATATTTATGTCGACTCGATCCTTTTTTTCAGCCATTTTTAGACTATTTTAAATGAAAATAGAAATCACAAGGCGAAAAGAAAATTACTGAATGGCTATGAAAAAGATGTCAATTCACCTCATCATCAACAGCTTATTGAAGCAAGCCATTGTTTCAAAGCGTGTTATTCTATATTATCATAACGACTTCTCGAAAATGGAAGCTTTTCTTGTGTCAAATATAAGAAAATATCTTATATTGAATGGGTCTTCTCATAGCCATATTGTCCCTTTCAGTCCTCCAGAACTTTGAACCATAATTATTCATAATATTTCTGAACCGTGGTAATAATTTAAGTTCTATTTCAGAAATCTTACAAGGTCATTCATTATAAGTGCCATTATGTGATTTATGTGATTATGCCGATTGTTTTTTTTAAATTGTTAATTTAAAATGACCTTTTTGCGAATTACCTTTTGTTTCGGTCGAAAGGAGTGGCTGTGTAATTCGGTTTGTTTGACGTCGTGCTATATTTTATTCTCTGCCAGGTTGTGCTTTTTCTCCCAATATAATTAAATATTTAATTGAAAATTAGTGGTTATTCTACCACTTCCTGCTCTAGTTTGGTTAGCTTCACAGAAATTTGAAGCTTCGAGTGTTATTCAAGTTTATTTAGTGACAAATTTACAAGAAGCGAGGGTCGATGCATGTAAGCATTCTCATTTTACCCAATGCTTTTCACATAAACGGATTCAGGTTTTATATAAGTGATTTTTTAATGTTTATAGTCAATGTTTATAGTGAAAAGTGATGAAAAAATACCACGTGCATAGATATGAATCTTTTTTCTCTCTTTTATCATGATAACTCAATTTTGCAAAATTCTTTTTTCATATTCATAGTTGCTCATCATCAATAATTTATCTTCATTTTAATCACTTTATTTGGAAATTGGTAAAATTTTTTTGCATAATTCTACGAAAATTTTTCTTAAATAAAAATTTTTAAAATTTCTCTCATATAACAGGTGATATTTTATTCTATAATACTTATTCCTCGATAAGTTGGTTGGTTTACATTTTCTTATTTCCACTTGCCATATTTTTTTATGAACTATCGTATAATAAACATAAACAAACAATTCTCCGCCTTCATCATAAGGATGAATGCACAATCGTTCTTAACTCAAATTTATCATAGAATAGGATAGAAATGATTTATAAACTGCTTTGGTCTGTGTTGAGCACTAGAGGTGATTCTCCAGTGTGCATGAGTTAAAAATACAGGTGATGCAGGAGACCTAGTTATGCTGTTTCCGAGTGATCTCCTGATAAAATCCTTGACCTTATTAATAGTTAACAAAGATAAGCTTATCAAAAGGAGCGACAAAATTTTCAACTTAAGAGTTAATCGCCCATTTATCTTAGAGATTTAAGATTTTGAAATTTCAAAATCTTTCCAAATTTTCAAAAATATTTTTTAATTACTGGCGACAATTTCTGTCAAAAGAAAAATATTAATTATTAAATATATTAATTATTAATTATTTATTTATTATAATAATATTATTAATTATATTGTATTAGTAATGTTAATATTAATCATTAAATAAATAAATTTAATTTATTAAAATTAAATTAACTTTATTAAAATTGAATAAAAGAAATTTTATTTTTCGACGAAACAGTTTTCACCAACACTTTTAAAATCTATAATTATCACAAGATTTCTATGGGATTGCCACATTTTGAAGTATTAAATTGCCAACATTTTAGTATTTAAGATGGATGTCTCATAGTAATTTTTGCCAAAAGATTTTAAGCAATAGATTTTAAGCATAGAAAACGGATTCAAAATGGATAAATTATGTATATTGCACCTACTAGTTGCCTATTACATATATGCTTACGAAACAACAAGAAGTATTGAATGTATTGAAATTGGTCACTTCCATTTGCAATGTTAAAATTATATCAAATGGGTATCTTAAATTGAACATTTACTGCATTATTTACTTTCTTTTCTTGCAAAATTTTGCATTTGATTAGGAAATTTTGATGTCGCTGTTCTAAATCTTTAAACTACTACTTTTCTTATAATTTTCTTCGACCGAAACGTTTATGAACCCTTTTTTGATTTATTTCGAACAATTTATCCAAAAAATAAAAGATGACTACTTTCTAGGAATGTATTGCTTGCACTGTTTTGTTTTGTTGATAGGCGCGATGATTAGTCAGGTCAACTGCTCTAAAGACATATGTCATGAAACATATCGTATCTGTTCTGCAAAAAATATCGAAATGATCGAAGAAATCTGCAAAAATAATGATGGTATCGACGAATTTGCGTTCCCCGATCTTCGCTTTGGTAATTTCTTTGCGTATTAATTTTTTTTGCTTTTTTAGTTTAATTTTATTTTCTTCTCACATACCATTGGTGGCCTCGCTAGTTGCACTGGCTGCGAGGATAAAGCGTTTTGAGGTTTCCTATCCAAAGCCACATCTGAAAATATCTAACAAGCTGCTCTTTTTTCCACTGTTCACTGAGCTTATTTTTTGGGTTATCTATACGTTAACAAATCTCTCCTAGCCGCACCAATCGAGATCTTGACTCGGCCTCTTCGCTTTCAACTTCAACCATGATGATACTTGGCGTATAGTGTAAATTCCTATGATGTGCGTCAAGGAACATGGCCTAACCATCGATGCTTTAAGACGATACCGTAAATGCACATGGTATTCGAGCGAAGTTGATTCAATATTCTGAAGTTCCAGTCCAACGAATATGCAAAAATTAGGCAGGGAAGATCAAAAACAGAGAAGAATTAAGAAGAACTGAAACTTCTCTTGTTACTGACCATTTTTTGCAGAATAGGACTGTGCGTACTGCAATGAGATAAATGCGATCAATCACTTTGGTTCCACAAGGTCTCGCTATCGGCACATAAGAGTACCTAAGGCGTTTGAAAATTGGCACTTCTTTATTCATCGATACATTTATGAATATAGGCATTTTATAAATGCAGCTATTTTGTAACTTAATAGAATATTTAATTAGAAATCTAAGTTGGAGGACATATTATTATGGATGAGCAATACCTATTTATGCCTATTCTTGCGGTACTGTATCCAGGATCTTTTGTTTGCAACGTAAAGGTCTTACTATTCTTCAGTATGAAAACCAGTGGTCATATTGTTCAATTGAAGATAAATTCAAGACAAAAAATTTTAAATAAAGCAATACTGCTAGGACATATTTTCTTGCCAAAACTTCTGGATGGCTTTCAGAATTGATTGAAAATTGTTGCAACGCGCGAGGATGTAGCCGACAGTATTTATGTAATTATTGCAACCAAATATGTTGTCAAATAGCAATTGATGTTGCATTTAACAAATAATCGTCAACATTTTCTATTTTTGAAAATCTTTTTAAAAAATTCAAATCACAAGAGAAATGGCAAATGCCTTTGTGTGTTATTAAGAATTATTAATTTTCATTAGGCGAAATTTTTTTTGCCAGCACATCTTGCTGGCTTTACTCCGCTAGAGAGAAAATGTTTTTTGGCAGAGTCATCTGGGAATAGAAATGCTGATGGGTCGTCAACTTTATTCGATCATTAGATTTGGATCATAAGAGAAAGTTTATTCCCATTAAAAGATAAGGGCCATGACAATACACCCAATCGGCTATAATACAACGCTGGTGATAATAAAATCATATGTTTGGAGCTCAAACACCGAAAATAAGTTTTTTTGTTGCACGATTTCATATGGATGATTTGATTAGGATCATCTGATAGTACCTTTTTCCGGGTATTTAAAACACTGCGTCTAATAACTTATTTCCAATTATTTTTTTTAAACGTAACAATATTTCGAAACAAATTGCATTATATTTTTTATTTTTATTAACTTTTTTTTTTAACTTTTACTTACTTTATTATTGATTCTCGTGAATTTATATTACGAATTTATATATTATATAAGCGTGAATTTATATATTAGCTAAACAATTACGAGTTTCTGGTTAAATTTCTCAAATAAAAATTAAAAATTTTCATGTTTTGCCTGATTTTATCATATTTTATCGCTCTTTTCACCTATTTATTAACGATAAATATGTTAGGATTCGAATCGTGGCAATGAAGTGAATTTATTTGAAATTTGAGTTGATAAATAAATCGGTATTAGCCATTAGCAATAATTAGAATGAGCTCCACATAATCTATAATTTTAAGAAATCAAAAAAATATTTTTAGAACAACTAGAACGCTTATTTTTCGAACGCTTTTGCTTGGTGGCCACGGTCCTGGTCCTCAGCTATATCAAAAATATTAAATTTCGATATTAAAAATATTAAATATAATATAATATAAAAATATTAAATATTAAATTAAATAAGTATTAATTATTAAATATAATTTTGCTAAATTTCGGATTTTTTTCGACCGCATATCTTCGCACTTTTTTCTACTTTCTTAAATCCTTCTATATTTGAGTGAAAAAATATCCTTTAATTTCATTAAAAATGGAATTTGTATTCATATCTAATGAAGCCAAAAAGCCAATTTTTATTCACTGGTTTTTATTCAGAAACATAAAAGTATATGTAAGGCATATTCTCAGAAAAATTTAAAGCCATAGAGAATTTTGAGAAATGAATTACGAATTTGATTTTGCGAAGATAGAAGGTAAATTCTGAAGAAAAGTTTTAAAAAATAAAATTTGATTTGTTATCGAAGTCCTTTCCAATCTTCAAAACCTCAGTTCGAGAACATCAGTTTTCGCATATTCGCAAAAGAACGAACATCCTAAAAAACAAAATAATTCTACGAACAACGACAAAATTGATAAATGAATGAATGAATTAAAATTTGATTTGTCTCATTTATTGCCACTCTTATTTGCATCTTTAAGATTTCGTATTGTATATTCTTTAAAAAAAAGTAGAAATTTACAGTAGTGAACAATTTATCGTCCCAAGTCTTGAAAAATTTCTTGAATGCGGGGGTCTCACTGCCTTGGTAAATAGTTTCGATAACAGTTTTATGTCGGGGTATATTATCGGTTTCAAGATATTTCTGAAATTTTTTATGCTCCATGCTCCATTTTATTTGATTTTTAAAGTGGCTATCTCAAATCAAATTATTTAAGCAAATTTTATTGAATTTTTCTCAAAATGCTTATATGATCAACAAGAGATTTTTTAAATTTACTCGATTGGGAAAAGAGCTCAAAATTTAAGGAAAAATTTTAAATTTAGGCCCTCAAACCGCAATTTAGAAGTTTCTTGGAGTATTTAGCATAGCTTGAACCTAAATTCCATGACTCGAAAAATTTTCAAATGTTTATTTCTCAGATTTCAATATATTCATTTAATTCATTAATATAAATAAAATTGATTGGAAACCTTGGCAGTGCTCTCAGCATGTTTCTTTTCATTGACATTCGCTTTAGTTCCAACCCACACATAAATGATAGATAAACCATCAAGGATCATTACATCATCACCATCCAAATCCTTTAATAATTTCTTTTACAGCCTATTTTTTGGATTAGATTCAGCGTTTGATTGTATTTGTTGCCCATTTAACTAATATAGCTATTTAATAGCTTTTTAAAATTTTTTTTCAAGAGTCCTCACCATTCCTGGTCAAACTCGCTCCACGGGCTTGCCGCATTGGGCAACATACCAGGGAGTCCCTTGGCGATAGAAATACAGGTAAGTCGCCAGCGTCACCCTGATTTTTGTACAGGTTTACTCCTGCGGGAAATCGAACCTCAGCATCGGCGCTCCCGATTGAGCAACAACCCACTGAGCCATTCTATCCCTCAAATTGTTCGTTGCTTATTAAAATTAAGAATATATAAATATAATATTATAATAAAGAATAAAAAAATTAAGAAAATTGAAAATATCTCGGCAAAGCAACGAACAATTTTGTTTAAAACATGTGGCAGATCAAGAATTTGAATAAAAATGGACAGCGTTGCCCAATGATATCCGGTTGATATCATAGTAATTTTATATATTAGTACTCATGAAATCCAGATTCGCTCCACAGGATATCGAACGTTTTTTTCAGAAAGTCCTTCATTAAAAAGCAATGATTTTTCCCTATATGGGATACCATACTTACTCATATTGTCTCCTCATTGAAATACTATATTTTCTGTTATTCTGTTATTCTGTTATTTTGCAAGGAAAAAATAAAATAATTCATTAATGCAAGAAAAAAATAAAACTTCTTGCGTGAAATTTGAAATTTCTTCAACGACCAGATTTCCACTCTCATCGCTGCATTGGAATAACTTTGGCTGAAAAATTTGTTTCGTCTTAGCTCCTTCCCATGAGCTAGCCCATTGCGTGAAAATCGCTGGTTCAGAACCTTCTAATACTCGAGTTACTTGAGTCCATTCTGGTTTATTCTAAACTAATAAAAGTGAGAAAGCAAATGGTTAGATATTTTATGAATTGAAAGGTAAGAATTCAGATGTTATTATTATTATTTACAATTACTCGAGAAATTCAGAAATAATAAATTGCAGATATAAAAAATTAAAATAATTTTATGTTTTTTTGCAGTTTCAATGAATAACCAACCATTTTTTGCAGATAAGAATTTGCCCATTGCATAGCTCTTTTGCGTTCATCTATTGTACAATCTTTGCCAATCCAAACAAAAACTCCTCCATGTCCTGCATCCAGAATAAATGCATCCTAAGAATAATCATACCAAGTCAAATTTTGCTGCAACCTAAGACAAAAAAAATTTTTTTCATGCATATAATGTAGAAACGCACAAAAAGTCGTGAAAAAACTGGGATTTTGATATCCCAGGATATTCTCTTTTTACATAAAAGTCATCATAATATAATCAAAAACCTTGGAATCAAGTTGGGAATACTGGAAAGTTCCATCTGCAACTATATTTACTTCCATTTTGCCACTTGCATCCGAAACTCTTAAATAGTATCATTTAAAAAATAGTTTTATCTACAGAACAAATTGCTCTTAAGCCTAATAAAGCTTGGAATATAAAAAGTATATGCACTGATTTGCTGTGATTATATGATATGAATTTCTTTCTTACCTCCACAATGAAATTGTATCTCGACTTGATCGCCAATAATTCTCATCTACTCCACCTAGTTCAGCAGATTTAATTTTTTTCTTATCACCACCAATTATTCGCCAAAAGTCGGTATTTGTATCCCAATCTTGATCTAGAAATGTAGATCAATTAATATTCCATTCAACTGAAAAAGTGGAAGCCATCATTTGAATTTTAAGTTATAAACAAATAAAATAAATCCGCATTAGCAAAATCTTGAATAAATTTTGGAAATCTAATTGCTGTAAGAGATAAATTTATCATTAAAAAAATTTATAAGGCACTTGCTGCCCACTCGCACTTTTATCCCCAAGTAGCTTTCTAATAAAATTGAATCATCTTCAGAACGTCGGGCAGAATTAACCTAACCGAAAAGAAAAGTAAAAAAGTAAAAAAGGTCGATGAAACGGTTTATGATTATGATTTAATGATTATTTTTTTTTACAGTACTACCGCTTCAGATTAGATTCGCTATGAGGATGTGATCCTATCGTCAGCCAGCCATTTATGAGCACAAAGTCCATACTAGTCCTAGATTATTATCATTGATTATTACTGATAATCTTACCAAGGACGTGTATTCTAGGTTTACCAGTTCGTTCATTATCGCGAATATTTTTCGCTTGAGACATTCCCTAAATAAGTTTATTGAAAAATTAGAGAAAAAATATATTCTGGAAAAACTAATTGCGGGAAAAAACATTTAAAAATTTAGAAAAAGGTGGAATGCAAGAAATTTTAGACAATTATACACAGTTGGAAGCTTTTTTCATATACTCAAAAAAAATATTGTTTTCGTTTTTTGTACTTAATGGCTATTCAAGCTTTTCAGTTTGTTGCTAGTAACTTTTCTTTTATAGCATTTTATTATATTAGTCAATAGAAATTGTGATTATAAAATCCAATAAGACTTTTTATTCTGCCCATGGAGTCGAATACTTTTTTATAATCGATTTAAAAAACCTTAATTCTTTCAAGTCGTCCACTTTCGGGTGGTATCCAAACGTAAAGGTCAAGTCCACAATCCAAAATGAACACATCACCAAGATTGAGAGAATTGAAATTACAATCCACCTGAACTAAGCTCGATTATGATAGCTCTCAAAATCTGCAGTAGCTTTTGCACAAAGAATATTTAAAATATTGATCAAAGATATTTAAAATACAAAATATAAATTGAGTCTTATCAATATAGAGCCATGAAAGCGTTATTAGAATATAAACCAATAGAAGGTAATAAAATATAAACCAATAACTAAACCAAGTTATTTGCGTCAAAAATTTAAGAGGAAAATTTTAAAGAGATATTAGCGTGTCTTTTTCGGGGAATAATTTCAAGATTTTGTTTCCCCCAACGTAATTTCTACGGTTCGTTTTATTATTTCACTGATATCGAGAGTGCATAATGTAGTGCAATAGATATTTGCGAGTTAGAAAACAGTGATGCTTAAAAATTTCAAATAATTAACATCCTATATAAATGTCATAGACCTTAATGCTATTTTTAAAATATTCCTTAATTACAGTAATCGTTTCAGAAAATAAAATTTATTAGAGGATTTGATCAATAACAAATTAATTAATTTTGATGAAATATTAGAAAATATAAATGTTTTCGCCAATAACTAATAAAAATTTCTTAGAATTTTGCACAGAAAAATTTCAAAAATTTTTTTCCACATGAATTTATATCTTTGCACTTTAAAAATAATTCTAAAGATTTGAACCTTTTCATTACAAAATTTTTGAAGGTTTTTTTTGAAAAGAAAATGGTTGTTGTTAATGTTATTAATGAACAAAATATTTTTAAAGAGATTGATGGATAAAGGATTCGAATAAATACTCCAAATTTCAAGAAATCTAATATAATTGACGTATTCTAGATTAGTGAAATCGGAAACTTTTAAGCAACTTAAATATTTGTGTGGTTTCTTTTATTTAACTTCTAATTCAGCTCGCCAATGCTCGTTGGTAAACTCTACTGGCTGAGAAAAGGATAAAGGATAGAGTTTATTCACCTTACCTAACGATTAGTAAAATAAAATAGACTGATAGTGGATTTATATTAGGGCCAGCAGATTAGAAATCCAAAATTCTATTTAGGCTAAATTCGCGCTAAATGTCAGCTAAATTTAAAATAAAAGCATGAATAATATTTGGTATATTCGTTAACTGGCTAAAATTTCTAAACTATGTGACCTGAACACATCGTACATTCCGTTTACCCTTACAGTGGAATAATCGTGGCTTCCAGTCTTCATATTTGTTTTCCTTGACATGCTTGAACCCAGATGAAACACCACCCTTCAAGTATCTAAAATTTATATCACAATTTAATGATCGACGATCAAATGATTAAAATTCAATTTAACAAAATAGAAGATTTAAAGAAAGTAGTAAAATTATGCGAGGCTAAATAATTTTCTCAATGAAAACTAATTAATTAATTTTATGTTTGATTATTTTTCTTCTGAAATCAGCAAAATTTTCTGCAAATCTATTTTGCATCGCTCATTTTCCGTAAAAATATCGAAGAAGTATTTAGGAAAAAATTAATTAATTGAATATTTTTTTCAAAGAAAAGTCATGAAACCTTTTCAAATTCTTCTATTTACCAAAATCAATTTATGAAATTACAATAAAATCGTTTAAAACCAACTTACTTTATTCCCTCCTTAAAATATGACAAGAAAAGCGAGGATTCATGTCCTTCCACCTACAAAAGTTCGTTGGGAAACGAAATTGGAACATAATTAGATGAAAAACATGTGACAATAAATCATAATTAATAATTATACTGATTTTTAATTTGAAGATTTTAAGCTGGAATGCTCCTTTTTTACTTGCATAATAGATGAAAAGAATCCTAACAATTTATTGGAGATAGAAAAGAAAATCGATAACCACAAAAATAATTATGAATATACTGACTTCTTTATACTGAGTTGGTAAACCACCCAAAGCCTGGTCCAGTTCGACAGTTTTTATAGCAGCAGCTCCTCTTTCATCCTGAAAATAAGCAAAATTGTGCTCCCCTTCCAGGAAATGATATTGCAAAAAATTACAAGCATTTACAAGCATTCAGAGAGCTTGATAGATGAGGTATCATACTGCAATGATAAATATTTTGCAGATTAATAATTAGAGAAAAGATTTAAATTTTGCGTGACTTAATCAAATTAGGTAAGGCATATTTTTTCTGAAATAGCCTAACGATAATAAAACCTTTTAAAAATTTTTGTCTCAAGTAAATAAGCCCGCAATTGTTGTACAAAAATTTCGAAACAATTGGAGCACTATTGTCGTTGGCAACAAATACTAAAAATATAAAATCACACCGTGGAAGTCTCGCTACCAAGCCAAAAATGGACATTCCATTCTCCTGGGTTCTTTGTCTAAAATCGGCTAATTTTTACGAAAAAGTGGAAATAAGTAGAAACTGAATAATTTTTTCATAGAATTTTTTACCAACAAATTAATTAAATTAATGTAAATTTTATTTTATTCAGTAACAATTAACTTTCAATAATCGTTTAATATTTAATATATTAATTATTGAATACTTTTACTAAAATTTTTAAATTCGTTAATTTTTTTAAAGATTCATATAAAATTTTTAATTTAAGCATTTGTAAAAACGATTTAAAATATCAACTGATAACGAATTTTAGTAGTTCAATTATTCAGAATATCAATTGATAACGAATTTTAGTAATTCAGTTATTTAAAATATCAACTAATAACGAATTTTTGTAGTAATTAAGTTGAAAAATAATAATAATAATCAGCGAAAACTAACATATAAGACGATATATGAATCACCACTGTAAAAATTTCCAAATTGTTCTTCAGGCAGACGTTCAAGTTTGAATTTCTAGATTTAATGTAAATTTTATTTTATTCAGTAACAATTAACTTTCAATAATCGTTTATAATATTAATTATTTACTTTCAGCATTCACTTTCAGTATTCTTTTTTCGCATAAATTAATTAAAAATGTGGGAAATTAAATCATTTTTTGATTGATTGTGAATAAAAATTCAAATTTATATAGAAAGAAACAAAATTTCGTGTTCAAAAAATAAATGTTATTAGCGTGAAAGCGGAAATATTACATTTATTCTCCATATTTCTAATCCACGTTTTTTTCCAATATCTTTGAGTTCAGAATCGATATTGGCCATTTTTTGCTCCTTAAAATAAAATATATGAAGCACAGCAAAGAGATACCATAGCTAACGCAAAATCCATGAACTGTTAAATAAGGCCCATTAAGAAGATGAAAAACTCTATAAATTTCCTGGAAAATCTTTCAATTTTCTATGTCTACGATTTAATTACAGTAAAAAATTTTGATATAATAATACTAATATTAGAAGTCAAAAACGCTTGGCTGAAAGGCACAAATTTTCAAGCTTAGAAAAACTTAAAATATAAATTTTCGCACTGATATCGTTCAATTCTCACACTCCACTATGCAATCGAAATGAAATTTAACGAATAGATTTAATCCAGATGTTTGCAGAATTTCTAAACAATTGAATTTTCTTCGTGCATCAAAAACAATAATATTACACTCGCTGCATTTATTGAGGATTTCATTATTATCGTTAAATATTCTTGATTAATAATAATAAACCACCACCGAAAACCACCGATTCAACAAAGAAAATGCGAAATGGGAATTATCATAATTAACTGAGGGATGATTATAGCAGTACAGTTTAAAGCATTTGAGGATTGAGACTGAATTTTCAATAATTTCATTCTCAACTAATGCTTGATGATATTAAGACATACTGAGACGCAAAATATTAGCTGATCGAGTGACATTGCTGTTATCAAGAACAGTTTTGATTCCTACTTTAATTTCTCTGGCGAGAGTCATTAAAACTAAAATCCGAGGGGTGCTGTGCAGCCAGCTGCTTCTTTAATGGCAAGCGAAAACAGCCAAATCGGAAACGGAAAGCGTAAGTTAGAAAAAAAAAAAAAAAAAGAAAAAATATTACTTCAATAAAAAATTCCGCTATTAAAAAGAAATAAAAATTTCAAAAAAAACCATTTCAATTTGTGTGTGTCTAACAATGATAATTAATGAATATTTATAATGAATATTTTCTATGAAAAATAAAGAATAACTTTAAAAGAAAGAATTATTCTGCAAATGCAAAATCTTAAAAGATTATAAAGTACAACTGACAATAAAATAAATGTTTTGTTAATTTTCCGTTTTCTTTATTTCTGTTAAACTTTCAAACTTTAATGCGTCGAAAAAACAAAAAAATTTGTTAACGATGCTTATCGACTAAAGCGATGATAAACGCTACGTAGCAAACTGAAGAAAAAAAGTATATGAAACTTCAAGATTTAAAAAAGTAGACGACTATGAAATTGCAAAATTCTTCTTTTTTTCTGCTTTCTGCAGAAATTGATATATTATTATATTTTATAATTGAATAAGTGGTAGCACACGTCATTTCCAATTAGCTTCACTGGCTACATATTAAAAATTTTGCTGGAATCACTTGACAGGTGAATTCCCACCACTGCCTGAATTTTTTAATGACAATTTTCTGATGTCGGTTGCGAACAACATTAAAATTCTTGGTCCTCAATACATCCATCTTGCAACATTTTATGCATAACAACAATATTCTTGTAATAAAAAAACTTCAAAAGTATGAAGTTTAAGAAAGTAGAAAGCTTAAAGAAAACAGAAAAAAGAATTTTTAAAGGCTGCAAAGAATACCAATGCTACAATATTTCTAATCGACAAGAGGTGCTAATGCTCTGCAGTTTTACTAATAAATATTACATACTATGCGATTCAACATTTGTTAATAGCCCTTGATAAAATTTGCTGAATAAAAAAAATTTTTTGTGCAAGAAATTTAAACGAATGAATTGATATATTAAAGAAAATTTTGATAAAAGCATGATAAGATTGGAAAACTAAAATACTTTTACAATGATGCAATAAAACCATAATAAAAAGATGGTGGCATAATTGCTAGATGGTTGCCAACGAATGCCACAAATTAGCCGATGCACCACTCTTCGTCGGGCGACAATGTCGACGAACAGAAAGAGCAAAGGGATTGAATAATAATTAAGTTGTTACTCACATTTCGGAGCCGTGGTTCTATTCCCGAATGGGATGAACCTTTCCTTCAAAAATCCTGGTGGCTTTGACGATTCACCAATATTTCTATTCTCATTTGAATTCCATGCAAAATTTATTGGACCCGATAAGAAAGCGAAGCGAATTTAACCAACAATGGTAAATGCTTTTAGAAAAAAATATAGTCATCGAAAGTCATGAAATGGCCAAGATTAATCACAAAAACAGATTTAAAGATAGGCTAAAACATCATAATACACTTCTAAAACAACAACAATTAAGCAATATTTAATAAGTTATTTAAGGTTGAAATGATTGACAAATGATAGAAATTATTGATATCAATAAGTGAGTAGCGAAGATATTACAACAATAATTACGAAATTAAAATATTGCGAAAATCTTTTAAACTATATAGAACAATTTTATTCATCAATTCCTTCAAAATAATGATTTATGCTTCATCTATTATTACAAGAAATCTTTATGAGAATTATGTAGAAGGGCTAGTCGTTAAGTCGTTAAGCAGGATATTAATCCCAGCATAGCTATTCATCAATTTATACATTCGGTGGGCCATTTAGATTGCTAATATTTCATATAATGCCAAGGATCTTTTAAGCGTGAAGTTTAATGGTTGTTTTAATAATAAAATAGGTTCCAAAGAATCTTAGAATGGCTCAGTGCGTTGTCGCTCAATTTGGATCATCGACTGCTGAGGTTCTACTTTCCACAGGAGAAAACCTATCCAAAAAACCGGATGATGCTAACGACCCATTCGTACTTCTATGGACTCTCTGACATATTTTTCCAGTGCGATAAGCTAGTGGAGCAATTCTTACCAAAAATAATGAGGTGTATTTAAAAAAAAGAATCTTAGAAGAATACAGTCGGTTTTGAAAAATGTTAAATGATATACGAAGATTCTCCTGTTAGTCGTTTTCCCAATATTTTTCTGCAAAAAGTTCAGTAGAAATAGAAGTAAACTGGCATTCTAGAAGAAACAAAACTTAAATACCCTAAAGCTCTAATATTGATTATAAAAACTTTAACTGTATATATTTGCTCAGAATAAATTTTATAACAGATAAAAAAGTTGATTCCAAATTTCTTTTTTTGGAAAAGCTCCAACAACCATGAAAAATGAAATAAGTAAGTGGCTAGCACTTATTACTATTAATGAGATAGGACAAAAAGTGTGTAGAAGTATAGATGATCATTTTATATGTTATTTAATTACACGTTTACTCCTAAGGATATATGATCAGCATGGTGCTATCCATTTGATAATCTAGATAATGCACATTTATATACTGCCCCGATACAATCTCAGAAAGCACTAAAATTCATTACTACTGATATAGAATAACTTGAAAATAACTTAATGAACCAGTTAAAATTGTTAAAATTGTTGATTCTATTTGACACTTGAAAATCGAATTTAGCGTGATTTCCTAAATCAGTAAATCAGTAAATTCGGCTATTAATAGATTTCAACCCCAAATTTTTCAAATTTTCATTTCATCTTTTCTTTGAAACCCTGTATTATTAAAGGGCTTCTTTGGTCAAATATTTTTTTTAATTTCCTTTCATTGCTAATAAAGAGATTTCGAGAATTATAAGAATCCTTGCTGGAGATTTTCAATTTCTTTAGAATATGAAAATTTAATGACGTTTACAAATGTGTCGGCGAATTTTTTTAGGCGAGTTCCATTCCATCAAAAATCTTTATTTATTTTTTGAAATTTGTTCAAATCAATTACAGCCTTAAATTAAGGTAGACTTCATAAAGGTGGCACGTAACAAAATTTTGAAAGAAAAAATTTCCTGCGTCGATTATTTTCATAAATTGCCAGATTTTTACAAAAATCCGAATAAAATGGCAAATAAATCGAAATCTCAGATATTTTCTAGGAATTCGTATGGAATTCGTATCTAGCAACATTGCGCCAACTGCCGAAATGCCATGTTTGCAGTCCAAAAAAACTGATTGGCCTTTCTACCGATTTCTCCTCGTAGAGGTAAGCTAAATGTACTGTTCCAAACTATATCTCTGGTAAAAAAAACTGGCCAAACCAGAAATATCAAATAAAAGAGAGATACGATATACGACTTTCAAATACTTCACAAGAAAAAGAAAAAGCAAACAAATTTTGTCGAATGTAAATAAATAAGGTCATAAAAAGTTCCATTCAAATGGAAATGCGATGCACATACACAATAAACTGGTTGTTGAACAAATGCTTCAATCATATTATCATCGAATCTTAAATTATTTTAAGGGCTTTGAATCCATTTTAAGATTCTATGGCTATATTGAACCATAAATTACGCAAACTGGCGAAACCATCAAAATCCATTTGAGAATGTTAATATGTTAATATGTAAAAAGGGCATTGAATAAAGATATAAATGCAACGATTCGTAAAAAAAAGATTATGGAAAAATTCGATGGCCGATTTTTAATAACGAAAATTTCAACTGATTTTTCAACTCATTTTTGGCATCTTTCAAACGCTTTTTATGACGATTCTTGAAAAATAAAGAATTAGGAGGGTCAGTAAGAAAGGAGGAATTCTAAAATATGAATTTGTTTATGCTCCCGGAAAAAAAAATATATAAAAAAATCGGCGAAAAATCGAATTATTAGAATAAAAAGCAGCGAAACAATGTTCCCGTTGCTATTTGTCTTTTTAATAGCACCTCACGCAAATAATTCATTTTCCACGAGTTCTTCTGCTCGCGTACGAGCGAAGAGTGCTTAGAACACTATTTTGAACTTTTGAACGCAATTTTTTTAGAGACTTTAAAAATATTCGTAAATCTAGGATTTCGTAAAAAAGAATTTCGAAAGCTAAGATATGCTTGCAAAAAATTCTACCTGTGTGAGTCCAACAGAAGAAGATTATTAATTTTATTGCATTAAACTTATTAAATTTATAACATTGCATCCTCACTGCACAAATTTAAAATATCTGGAAAAATGCGATTCAAGAATCGAACTTTTCATTGTAAATTCATGAAACTCATGGAAAATTATTCATTCAGATCGTTGATGTTCTG